ATGTATATACTAAAAGCAAACCCACATGGGTTTCAAACTTTGACCCAAATTACAAACCATGAATAAACTTGAGACAAAACCGCACCCCCAAGCTTATTTAATTGCTAGGGTGGTGGCTATTCATCACTTCTTTTCTTTCTTTTCTTTTTCTTTTCATCAGTTTTTTTTTTTTTTTTTTTTTTTTTGAAACTTGGATATTTACATCATAAACTACTATTCTACTAATTACAATGAATTAAATATTGAACTAAGAAAACAAGATTGGTATGCCTTAACCTTTTTTTTTGTGAATAAACAATACATAACAACCTTAATCAATCACTAAGAGTAGTTTAGGCCGCGATCTTGGGAGTTGGGACTCAATTTCTCGATCTAGGTACTAAATTAAGGAGGATCCTTGCCACTCATTCAAAATGTAGTAGGCTTGAAAAATATTAAAACCTCACTTTTGGAAACAATGTGGGATCAAATACTACCTTTCGGGGTTCAAATTCCTTTGATATGGGCGACACCTTCTTATCACAATCCTAGACCTTAAGTCTCGTACATTCGGTAAGGTTATTCTCACACTAGCCTAAACTAGCCAATTCTATGTTCAACCAAGGGCATCTAAACCATGCTCAAAATTTTGTGACCAAAAGAAAGCAAATATCCATCACATGCAATCCAATATCATCATTGAGGACTAATCTAAAAGTAAAGGTTTTTTTTTTACCTTTTTTTTTTTTGAAGAAATATAAACAAGAATAGGAGGAAAGGAGTTACCATTGACCTTGATGTAGTATATTTCATGTATACAAGATGATAAAATAATAGTGATTAGTAGCAAAGCAAATAAAGATAGAATATCATGTATGGATCATGCACATAAGAGTTGAACAATCACTCTACAATTCATAAATAAACCGTCATTTGCAAAACTAAGGCAATTATATCACAAGCTCACTTGAATTCGTTTTACCATCAACGACACTAATCAAATCATCAAGCCAAATGACTACAAGCAAAGACAATATATACAACGTCTAATCTAATTAAAGAAAACAATTTTTTTTATTAGTTTTTTTTTTTAGAGTTAAGAGGGGGGAAAGAGGCACTAGCTAAAGAATTTGGATTTATGGGAAGAAGAACTAGCTAAAGAAGATTGGAAAGGAGGGGAGAAAAGGAGGAGAGGAGAAGCTAACTAAAGAATTTGGATTTAGGGTTTTGGATTTTTGGGAAGGAGAAGAAGCTCATCAATAAATATCATAACCAATGGGGAAGCACATAAACCAAACCAAGCTCATTAAAATGCGGACATTCAACCAATAATTAACCAACCAAGATAGGCAGAGCATAATCATATTAAGCACAAAACTAGCAACATCAAATCTCAACTCAACACAAGGCCTAAATACTCCCCCAAGCTAGACATTTAGTTACCGCTTCAATGAAATAAAATAGGCAATGAAGTAACCTCCCCCAAGCTTGGGATTGGCAACGTCCTCGGTGTCCCAAGAAGTGAAAGGGGCATTGAAACGGTAACTAGAATGTCTAGATCATCTATGGCGCCCCGGTGAATAGTGATAATTGTAGTTGAAATCTACATCACTAGAATCGGTCGGGTCGTCTACATAAGGAGGTAGATCATAGTTGGGGCAAGAACGGTAGTGACCATAATCCGGCATACATTGCTCACCCCAACCACCATCTTATCCGGGTGGGAACCCGTAACGCCCCCTTAGGGGGGATCAAGCACCTCCGAAGATGAACTAGCACCACCAACCTCGGGGACGTAGTAATAGCTAGGGTCGCCCCTATAATCACATCCCCCGGGTTGTGAGTAGTCATAAGGGGGATATGAGCGAAGCTCATCAATTGAATAGCGTGGGCCTTGCCAATAAGGGTAGGTGGGTTGACCATTGTGACAACCCGGAACCGACCCTTGTTGAACGGGTCGGTTGGGATAGTTGAGATAAAGGGTAAAGTCACCCCTCTCAACTTGATGTTGGTAGCTTCTTTCCGCTACAAAACTTTGATATTCATTTTGCTCAAGGAGTCTTCGGTTGGTTAAATTCAGTTAGTTGAAAGCATATTCTACATCAAAGAGGGAAGAGGAAGAGGAAGAACCACCTACCCTAGATCAGGGGATGGAGGATGTACTCGCACGATAGGGTATAAGTACATCCTCGTCATTACCGGCCATACCATGTGGGGGCTGCTCACGTGGCACTTGCCACGTGGTCCCCACCGAGCTATTAATCGCCGGGCTTGGGAGAGTGCAATAATGCTTCCCATTGACTTTCCAACTATAGCGAATATTACGGCCCTCAATTTCAGTACGGAACTTCATATCAGTAAGTGCCTTAATGTCAAGCAAAGTGGGGCCATGAATCGGGGTCATTTGGTCTATCTTAGACCCAAACCCTAGTTTCCTCGCTATAATTGAAATCATCCCCCCATATCTAATCTCACCACTCATCTCTCCACTCTCCCTAATTTCCTCGCATCTTTTAATGAACATGTATCCCATGTTCACATACCCTTCCTCATTTCCTTCGAATCTTGAAGGTAGGAAGAGGAATTTGATCTCCTCTTTAGTTAGCTTCCTTAAGTCTTGTTTAAAGTAACAAGCATAGCTCATGATTCTCATGAATATTCGAAGGACGGGGTGGATGATGTGGCTAGCATGGCTAGACCGGGTTGTGAAATTGGGATACCCGCAATGGTATTCCACCAAACTTGCTCCTCATAGCTTGAGAAGTAAGTACTAATGGGGCCATAGACTTGGTTAAAGACGGGCCATTCAAAAAATTCGTTCAATCTCGTTAAGGTTAGGGTCTTCTCGACATTGAACATTTGAAATTTAATTTCACACACTAATCACTCCCCCTCTAGGTTTATGTGCTTCATAGAGACCGTTGATAGGAATTCAAGAGTCAGAGACTTGTAAGTCTCCTCCCTATTGTTTAAGAAGTTTATCCAACCGAAGTTTTCGGCTACCCTCCTAATCCCATCATCGACCCCTAGGAGCCGCATTCAATCTTGATGATAAAAGCGGGTTGGGATGGTTTTTCTTTTTGAGAGTTCATTGAAAGCCTTTTTGTACTTTTCCTTGAGTTTATAATTAGGAGGTTGAATTGGGTTAGGATTTTCTTGTTGTGAAGGGGTAGAGGATGTTTGAGGTTCACTAGTCTTTCTTTTCTTAATCCCTCCAATGAATTTCTTCATTTTTAGATTAGAAAAGGCTATTTAGGAATATCACTCAACAACAAACAACTCCACACCACCCTTAACTTCAAACCCCCTTAAAATCCAAGAGTACCTGTTTCACAATACAACCAAAATATATCCCAACACACAATTTTTCAAGAACAATGCACTTCACAATTTCACAAAAATCAAAATCACAAATTCCCAAAGTCTAAGAAATTTCCAATTATAAATTCAACTATTCTAAAAATCATTCACAAAATTTTTCTAACAATCCTCCAAAGACAACAATACTTGCTTAAATTCACCTAATCATGCAACTAGTCACACAAACTAAATGAAATTAGCAAGAATTAAGAAATTTTAAAGGAAGAAGTTGAGTAAAGTAATGGATTATACCAAATAGAGTACGAAAATACTCTAAAATCCTCCCAAACCACTCAAATTTTGCTCCTCCTTCTTCAAGCTTAAACCTTTTACTCTTGTTCTTCAATGGAGGAATTAGGGGTTTTTCAAAATTTTGACCAATTTTGTGTATTTTTGTGATTTTTAGAAAGATAATTGGAAGGAGAGTGAGAATTTGTGAATTTTTAGTGAATAAAGTGAAGGATTGATGATGATTTTGATGAGAGAAGGTAGAGAAAATGGGGTTTTTGGAGTGAGAAAGAGGTAGGTAAAGAGGAGAGAGAAGATGAATGAGGTGAAATGAGAGGTGAGAAGTGAAAGATGGTAAAAGGATAAGGGGGAAATCCCTTTTTTTTTTACACGGCTAGGACAGGAGCGGGCGTGCATGAAGTGAGGAGCGCCCGCTCCTGCCTTCAAGAAGGCATACTGATTGCTTTTCGGAGGTAGGAGCGGGCGTGCAGGGTTCTAGGAGAGCCCGCTCCTACATATTTACCTCGACTCTACCTCTTTTTTTCAAAAAAAAAAAAATTTCTATAGCTGATGAGTGGAGCGGGCGTGCAGGGGTCTAGGAGCGCCCGCTCCTAAGCTGATTGAAGTTCCTGCCTCAATTAAAGGACTTAGGAGCGTGCGTGCGGTTGATTTGGAGCGCCCGCTCCTAAGTTGAGATGAAGTTTATGATGTTGCTGAAGGTTTTAGGAGCGGGCGTGCAAGGGTTGAGGAGCGCCCGCTCCTAAACTTGCTGGACTTCTTGCTTCTCTTGACGTACATTGGAGCGGGCGCGCTAGCTTCAAGGAGTGCCCGCTCCTTACTGGATGGCCGAATTTGCCTCATTTTCAACTCCCTTAGCAAATTAAACCACCTACCACAAAAACAAACACCAAAAAAAATATTCAAGCTATCAAGTGTTAGTATGAGCTCTCATCTCTCATTTATTTTTTTTAGAGTAAAGGAAAAAATACTCGGGTTGACTCCTGGGAGCGCTTCTTTAACGTCACTAGCTTGACGCAAATTCGAAAAATATCCTCAAGGTGGGATAAAGTTTGAAACCAAATTGTCACCATTGTTTTCATTGTTACAACTTGCCATCTTGGGCAAAATCAAATTGTCTTCTTGACTAACACCTACAACAAATTCATTTTCTTCAATTTTCTTTGAATCCTTCTTCTTCCTTTTTCTCTTTGTTTTTCCCTTCCTATTCTTCTTAGAAGCCTTGATGCCATCCTCTTCTTCCTTGTGAGCATCGGACTCACCTTCTTTAAGCATTGTCTTAAGACAAAAAAGCATGGCAATCACCTCATCAAACCTATTAAAACATTGCTTTGACTCATGGACATTGAAAAGAGGATTAGTAGCACAAAGCATTCTCAACATATGCAAATCATTATCACTAATAGCATCTAAGGTCATGCAATCTTTATGGGGGAAGGACATCCTCTCTTGTGGTCAATAGTAAGACAAAATTCATCATCACCCACATTTAATGTGAGTTTTCCTTCCCTTACATTAATTATTGCACCACCCGTTGCTAAGAAAGGTCGACCTAGGATAATAGGGGTGAGGGCATCTTCCGTCATTCCTAGCACAATAAAATCAACCGGAATGGTGAAATTACCTACCTTGAGAGGGACATCCTCTACCTTACCCTTAAGGAATTTGGTGGATCCATCGGCAAGTTGAAGAGTGACATTAGTGGGTACTAAACCACCTATACCGAGCTTCTCATAATCCGAAAAAAGGCATCAAACTCACACTAGATCCTAAATCACATAGGGCATTTTCAAAGGAAATGTTCTTAATAGAGCAAGGAATAGAGAAACTTCCGGGATCTTTTAGTTTAGTGGGAGAGTGGTTTTTGATAATTGCACTACAATTTTCGGTCAAGCTAACCGTGGTGGACTCACTCATGCCAACCATCTCATCCTCACTTGACTTAGACACCTCACATTGTTTTTCTTCTCTAACCTCCTCATTCTCACTCTCTTTTTGCAAGCTCATGGGTGGAGTTTCATCTATGCTAGTCTCACATCTAGTCATGATTGCCTTACAATGTTCTTATTGACTAGGCGAAGAGGTGCTAGAATTGTTTCTTTTAAGTGCATTAACTAGTTGAGTTAATTTAGTTTCTAGCATCTTATTATGGACTTGCACTTTCTTGATAGTCTCCTCTAAGTTATTGGTTTCTTGGTTTGAGCATTAACAAATTTTTCCATTGTTATTTCTAGGCTTGACTTAGGAGGGGGAGCTTGAAGTTCGAGAGGAGGTTGAGGGATAGGAGCAAGGGCAGGTCTATTTCCTCCATTAAAACTGGGTGGGTTGTTGTTGGACAAATATTGACCTCTTTGGTGATACCTATTGTCATTTTGTTGATTTACTTGGTTGTTTGACACATAGTTACCACCACCTTGGTTCCTATAATTTCCTTGATTATTGTTTTGAACATTCCTTTGGCCACTATATTGACCTTGACCATTTCCTTGGGTTTGGCCCCCTTTCCAACCAAAGTTTGGGTGATGTTTCCATCCCTCATTATAGGTGTTGGAATAAGGTTCATACCTAGGGTTGGTTTGACCATTGTTAATTGCATTTACTTGTTCCATGGAAGGGGAAGGGGAGCATGAATCATTATACAAATAGCACTCCGAAGTAACATGATCATCACTTCCCCAAGCATCAAAAGACATCATTTGTATTGACATATTATCATTTAATGAACTAGATGCATGTGAATTTTGACGCGGGGAAGGGGATAGAGAAGAGGATTGCAATTGATCAAACTTAGAAGATAAAGCATCTAATTTTGAATTAATCATGTTGATAGCATTTAACTCGTACTTTCCTCCTTTCGTGGGAGTGCTTCTCTCATTGGGGCTCCAATCGGTGTAGTTTTGAACTACATCCTCTATGATCTTTAGTGCCTCTGTGGGTGGCTTGTTCATGATAGGTCCACCTGATGCTCCATCCAAGAGTATGCGGTCCGCTCTCAAAAGACCTCTATAAAACCCATGAAGCAAGAGCCAATTCTCCATGCCATGGTGGGGGCATTGTTGTTGGTAGCTCTTGAATCTCTCCCAAGCATCATAGAGAGACTCATCGGGCTCTTGTTGAAAGTTCGAAATCTTGGACCTTAACTCCGTCGTTTTCCCAAGAGGAATGAACCTCCCAAGGAATGCCGAAGTCACCTCATTCCATGTGTTCAATGAGTTCGGAGGCAACCTATCAAGCCAATCACTTGCACTTCCCGTGAGAGAAAATTTGAACATACTTAGAAGGATGTACTCCGGAGTCACCCCATTTGCCTTCACGGTGCTACAATACCGTGTAAATTGCTTGAGATGTGCAATGGGATCCTCAAGCTTGGCCACGGAAAATTGATGGCCCTCGATCAAGATGATAAGGGCGGGCTTTATCTCAAAATTGTTTGCCTCGTTGGTGGGATTAACAATCCCACTCGCTTGTTGGTATGGAGGAGGGACACCAAACTCTCTCAAAGTTTTATTTGGTTGGGTCATGTCGAATTGGCGGATAGGTGGAGAAGTTGGAGAATTTGTCCTTGGTGATTCTAATGGAATGGTGTCTCCACTAGATTCACTAGAACTAGAATGATCGGACTCAACCTCAACTTGCGGCTCACTTGAAGTAGCACCGCTAGCTATCGCCCTCTTTTCTCTTCGATTTTCCCTCACGACTTTTTCAAGCTTGAGGTTCAACGGCACAAGAGGAAGTGTCCTATTGCTGCGTTCGGGCATAAACAAAGAAGACTAGATGGGATATTAGTAGGTTAGTCAAAGAAAACAAAGAAAAATAAAGCTATACAAATGAACTAGGCTCACATATCTCATAAATAACTCAATGCTTAACGCCATTCCCCGGCAACGACGCCATTTTGGTCGAGGGAATAATTGGTCGTTGGACAATCACCCTAAAACCAAAAAATATTTCTACCTAAACCAACCTAAGACAGGTCTAGGGTAAGTAGAGGATCGTATCCACAGGGAATGGGTAAGGACACCAAGAGTATGAAACGGTTGCAATCTAGTTCGGTCACAAATTGGGGGTTTTGATTAGACAACTACTATGGAGACAAACACTAGGGGGAAATGGGAATCGACTCCAACCAAACCAATGGATCAAATCAATAGGCAAGCATGAACACAAATTGGGTGATAGAGAGGGCACTCAACATTGCCTTCTTTTGAAGCCACAACACTAATCATTCCTAAACCAAACTCAACTAACAAGATAGGCCAACCAAGTCTTAATAATGGGAAGTAGACTACTAACTCGGGTTTGTCTTTCGATCGGTCAAAGAAAGCATTAAGGCACAAACAATTGGGATTTCTCACCTAATTGTCGCAACTAAGACTACTACATCATTCAAACAAGGAACCATAATCACGAGGAATTTAGCATAACATATAAGAGTGGGCTCACAACTAGACACCATCTTTCATTGCTAGCGTAGAAGTGAATACATGAGCAATAAGTGGCCAACCAATTACACATGCAATTAACCAATCCCTTAACAATCAATCATCAACCCAAAATGAACATGCAAGCACAAACATCAATCAACCCATGGCTCGGTTGGGTCTTCACCTAACCCCTAGCTAATTAACTACTCACTAAACATGGTGAAGGACATCCTAACAACAAGTTCTAATTCTAGCATTAAATTAACAAGTTGAGAGAAGTAGTGGGAATAAAGTAGATTGAACATGCAACAACAATTAAACAAGATCAAGAGAGAAATTAACAATTCAAAGTATGGAAAAACTGAAATTAGAGAGTAAGAGATAGAGGAAAGAGATTACTTAATGCTTCAAAGTTGAGAAATTGTTGGATTTTAGAGAACAATCTTCAATTAATCTACTACAATGATTGAGTTTGAGAATATCTAAGCTAATTAATGAGGGTTTAGAGAAACTAAGGGTTTAAGAAAACTGAAGGGAAAGAAGATCCCAAAAACTGAAGTCAAGCGTCATATTTATACGCCCAAAAATTACATTGTAAAATCCGTCAAAAATCGGGCTTCTGAATAGGAGGAGCGCCCGCTCCTCTTGGTAGGAGCTCCTGCTCCTTACTCTTTGCGCGCCCTCTCCTTACTGTAGGTGGATGGGAGAATGTAGGAGTTCAGGGAGGAGCGCCCGCTCCTATTTAGGTGCACGCCCGCTCCTCATAGTGCAGGGGGTAGGCAGATTGTGATGCTGGGATGAGGAGCGGCCTCTCCTTGCTGGTGCAAGCTCCCTCAAGAAGTTCTTCAAGCTTGAGCCACCTAGCCGCATTCTCATTGCACCTACAAACACGAGCACACACATAAAAAGAAACGGGGAAGCCAAAAGATGCAAATTGCCATAAAAGGAGTTAAGAAAAGGGATTATAGTAGGGGAAAGAGTACAAAATCGCGTTTAAAATGCCATGATAAGTGGACAAATAAAACACTTATCATGATACTAAGGCAGGAGAAAAAGGAAGAGGGCTTAGGAAGTTCAATATCTTAAGGAATGCCAATAAGGGGGTTGGGGAAGAAAATTTGGTGAGTGGTGGCAAAAGGGGGGTGCGTGAAGAGTTGTATGAGGATGTTGAGATGGGAGGTGAAGGTGTTAAATCTGAGGCTATGAATAAGAAGCAAAAGGTAGTAAGCACTAATCAAAATGTGGCGGGCCCCACACCATGGGCTCTCGGTGGCCAATGAATTACATTCTCTCATGGAATTGTAGAGGTTTGGGGAGTACCTCGGCGATAAATGTAGTGAAAAATGTGGCTATTCTTGAAAAACCCCAAATCATGTTTTTGTCGGAGACAAGGCTAAAAAGTCATGAGATGGAAAGAGTAAAAATAAAATCCTTTTTAATAATACTAGATGAAGCCCGTGCGATGCACGGTTTGTTAGTATTTTTCTTAAAAATATTTTTCATATTTATGTGATTTTTGTTATTATATTAGCTTTAAAATATTCGATAAAATTCCTTATCTCAAAAGATAATATTTTGTATTTAATTAATCTAAACTTTAGTATCTCATTCGTAAATTTTGCTTACATGACATTTGAATTATTTAATTGTAAAAGAAATTAATAATCTCTTATTTAATTGGCTAAAACTTAAATTTATAATCCTACATGGCACACTAAGAAAATTAAATCCTACGTGGCTCTCTAAAAACTCGGGGAAAAACTCCCCTATATATATATATATATTAGATTCTTGCTGTTAGTTGTGAAGGGGAGGGTAGGAAAAGAAGTGGTGGTTTAGCTCTTTTATAGAAGGACTCTTTGGAGGTGGAGATTAAGTCGTACTCTTTAAACCACATTGACTCGTGGGTCAAATTATCTCGCAAGCAAGGATGGAGATTCACTGGTATTTATGGTTACCCGAAAGCCGAAAAAAAAGCACATGACTCGTATATTGCTTGAGAATCTCAAGAGTAACCCGAACACCCCATGGGTTTGTGGAGGTGACTTCAATTTGATGTTAATGTCTAGTGAGAAACAAGGTGGGACTTTTGTATGGTAGAGGCCGACATTTTTAGAGTTGCAGTGGAGTCGTGTGAGCTAGTTGACTTGGGCTTCGTGGGTCATGGATATACATGGACTAACAACCAAGGTGGTGCTCGAAATGTGCAGGAACATCTCGATCGGTTCCTTGCAAATAAGGCATGGAAGGAAATCTATACTGGATCGTTTGTGATGCATTTATCGAAAAGAAAGTCAGACCATTTTCCCATTCTTCTTTGCATTAATGAGGGTATGGGAAAAATAAAAAAGAAAAAAAAATTAAAAAATACAGATTTGAAGAAATGTGGCTTCGGGATGAAACTTGTGGTGATATTGTGAAAAATGCGTGGGAGTGGGGGGTGACAGATGTTCAAAAATTGCTCATACCTTGATAAATTTGAGTGCTTGGAGTAGGAATAAATTTGGTGATTTTATGAAAGAAATAAAGGAGTGCAGATCTGCGATGGAGAGTATTATAGGAGAAAATCAGACGGAGGAGACAATAGCCCAAATACGGGCTATGGATGACAGAATGGATGAG